CGCTTGGTATTATACATTAATATAATCATGTATGTGGTCTACACCAGGCTGACCATGCACAGCAGACACCAGCAATCACGCTTGGTATTATGCGATAATATAATCATGTATGTCGTCTAAACCAGGTTGATTATATTAAACCTTCTTCCCAGGGTAGTGATGTAGCTATAAGGTAAATGTCTTGTCAGTTCTCAGAAATCAGTTGAAGGGAAGTCTTCAGTGAGCAAGTACCCAGTGGATCGGGTGGACCCAGCAGATCGGGCGGAGCCAGTGGATCGGGTGGATCTAGTGGATAGAGCAGACCTGGGGCAAGTGGGCCGTGCCGTCTGCATGGCAGATTCTAGCAGGGTGCCCAGGGAGGAGGCAGCCACGCGACGGCTCGGCAGGTTCTGGGCCTCTGCTTCACGCTCAGAGTCCGTGGAGCAGCTACGAGGCCGGCGCATGGCCCAGGCCCACGAGCAGAGAAGTTCACCGTCCTTCTTCGAGGGCCAGGAGAGGCGGCAGGTGCTAGAGCACAGGAGGCCCCTATTCAAACAGGAGTCTGCCCCACAGCTCCGTGTCGGTGAGCTCGGGAGCCGCGACCAGGTGCACAGCAAGGCTTGGGCCATCCCTGAGCCATCCACCACGGGGGGCACCACCCACTTCCCATCCAGCCCCTCTCTCAGTCCAGCTGGCAGCCCCTCGTCCCTCCCTGTGTCTGGCTTGGATTTCCGTAAAAGATGGATCCAGTCTTTATCCAGAGGCAGGTCCAGCTCCAGGTATGAAGACAAGGCTTTGTTTGCCTCCTCATCCAGAAGGTCCTTGACCCTGGATTCAGGACTTTAAATTTGACATTTAACTTTGTGAAAACTTCATGTTTTTTTTATAAGTGGTTGACTGTTTCTTCAGAGTGAAGACGTCCCCAGTGCAGCCCTCACTGCTGGAGCTCTCGGTGGATGATCCTGAAGAGATATTTGGGTCCTTCCCTGAGGTATTTTTAAACCAAGGAGTGATGACAGACTCGGACTTGTGGCTCAGGAGCAGGGATGGAGAACGTCCCCCAACAGGGGGCGAAGGAGGTTCCCAGAGAACCAGAGACACCCAGTGTCAAGTCCAAGAGACGGACACAAGCACCAGGGAAGAACTTCTGAGAAAGGAGGAGGAAGATGAGGAAGGAGTTTCAGTGGATGAACCCGAGTCTCCTTCAGTCGCCACCAGCGAAACCATAGTGAAATGGCAGTGGGAGGACATGGTGCAGCAGGTGGCGGCGGAGGATCAGACATTAGCACATGTGCTGCTGCCAGCAGCCAGTGGGATCACTGCAGTCGCACTGATAGAGCAGCTGCTTTCTGGGGACACCTTACTGATGGAAGAGCATTACAGGTGGAAGCATGCTCAGGAGGCCAGCGGCCCGGACACAGAGGACGGGTAACTCGCTGATTACTGCTACAGAAGGGCAGTGGTGGGCACAGCTAACCAAGAAGATAGTTTCAAGAACCGCTAATATGCTCACTCTAAGGTCTAAATTGATAACGCTAAACAGAAAAATCACAAACAAAAAAATTGTGGAAGCTAATGATTAGCGCTGACAGCTAACTGTTTTATATGAACTTATCTTCGGTTTGGTTTTTGGCTCTGAAACCCTTAAAACACACACCTAGAGAGATAAACGTATAACCTGTTTAACACTGAGGTCCCATTTGTCAGACTAGAGTGATTACTAGGGGATATTTATGACTTACCCAACTGGATATCAATGGATTCTGTAGAGTCTCCGGGATAAATGTGCATTGAATTTTTTTCTCTGATATTCCATTTGCGAGATATAAGCGTTTTGTCGAAGGAGCCCTATTTCACAACTAGCCCATGCTGACATTTTGAAGCCACTTGGGGACTACAAACATGGTGCTGGTTACCCAGAACTAGGAAGGAGGGTCCCAGGTCCCTATTGGTTCGATAGCTCTGTCAATCAGAATTGAGAAAATACAATCACAAGGCAGGATCTCTAGTTTAGCCTGATAACTTCTTGGATTAGCTTTGCTAAATAGCCATTAGTAGACTAGTGGAACTCTGCCCACCACTGCAGAAGGGTTGGACTGGCAGCCAGCATGTAACTCGCTGGTAGACAATCCATTATTCTTTGCCAGTAATGTTTGTTATTCAGTCATTACTATTTTGATCGTCACATACAGCCCGACTGTAATTAAAAGAAAACAGACAGAAAGCTGCCCTGTTTACGTACATTTGAAATGAAATTTTGGATGAATACAGTGCTCCACTTGGCTTGTTGCAGCTTTGCAGCGGATGTGGTGTGTTCTCTTAATGCTGCTCATCCAACCACTGAAGCTCAAGCTCAAGAAACTGGCCAGACACAAGGCGGGGCAGGAAGTGAGGTCACTAAGAAGAAGGTAAGAATCTTCATTGAATTGGTTCCTTATCCGTTATTCGGTGGAAGGTGGCCATAACGGACCAGTGCGATGTTATGTCAGTCATGTGACCTGCGTGCCCTCAGAGGCTGCTGATGTCATGCATCGAGCGCCACCTGGAGGCACTGGCTGAGCGGCAGGCGGCTCTCAGGCAGGAGCTGCTGGCCCATGGGGAGCGGGCCAATGCCATGGCCTCCCTGGTGCAGGAGCACTGTCTGCCACCGGAGTATGAGCGCTACACTCAGTTCCTGGATGACCTGGAGCGGGTGGTCAGCCTGCTTCTGTGCCTCTCCGCCCGTCTGGCCCGGGTGCAGAATGCATTGAGCGTTTCGGACCAACATATGGACCCGGAGGAGAAGGTACATGAACCACTGCGCCAGAATGGGCCAGCACACTGTTTATTAGTGATAGACAAAATGACACTTCATGAACCATTTGCTGTATTTTTTGACCCCACTAGATGGCGCTCTTGGTTTGCTTTGGGCCATGCTTTGTGCCTTTTTTTGAACAGAGAGCATCACCTAGTGGGGTCAAAAAATATGACAAATGCTTCATGAACTGGGTGATTTGGCATGTTTGAGCAGGGAAAGCTGCAATCTGTTGGATTCTGGTGCTCCAGAACCGGAACTGGGGAACCCTGAACTTAGCACTTATAGACATGCATTATAAGTGACATACAGATCAGCATGTGAGTCTTTGAATTCTTCATTCACCCTCATTGATCAGATCACTGTCCAAGCTGCCACCAGCAATGCCAGGTCTGTAGCTGGAGTAGATTTAATGTGATATGAAAAGTGCTCTGCGACTGTCCCATATTCATTTTAAAGTGTAAGCTTAATGTTAGTAGGTGTTGTGTTTGTGTCACCTGTTACCTAACTTTAGTTTTTAACCACAGAAAAGCTGAGTCTGTCTTTGCTTCTTTTTTACTTTAAGGATTCATCTTGCAACTAATTGGCAGAATAGTGCACCTGTTTCCACTAATTAAGTTCTAGGTGTGACATCTGTGAAGGTGATGGAGGACCACTCTGCTTTTTCATGCTTTTTTGCTTTTTGTAAATATTTCTGAAAAGGCCATTTCCAACGTCACAATGGAATGACTTTTTATTGTTCCACAGACTGAGTATCTTACCGTTTTTTTCGATTTCTTTGGCACATTTCTCAAATAATTAACATTTGCAATACAATGTGTGTAACTTGTGCACAGTTGAACATTATTTGTCATTGTTTCACACAAATTGCAAATGTTATGTCACATATTATATATGCAAACAGTCTTGTACAGCCATCCTCATGTGCCATAGTTTTCAGTTGCTTAAGTCTTGATGGTCAAAATGGACTTTGTATTTTCTCAGAGAAATAATTTTACACCCAAAAACAAATGTACGTTCTCATTGTTTAAACTGCTGCATGCAAAACAGCTCAAAAACTTTCTGAATGATTCTAGACTACATTCCATAAATGGCGGTGATATGGCATTGTTGTGTATTTGGTTCCCACAGTATTCGATTTTGCTGTCATTTTTTTGCTTTTGTGGGAAACAACCATCATTCAGAATTACTGTACAGACAATGACATTTTGACAATATAACTAAAGCATTTTGACTTTCATGGTTTAAATGACAAAGGTTCTTCTTCAATTTAGTGGCACTAACTGATTCATCGATTGAATTATTTGTTTTTGAGACCAGAGTTAACTTTTTGGGGGCGAGTTATGGCCTTTTGGGGCTTAACCATGCTGTTGCTGTTGTGCAGTTTGTATAAACCTGTTTCGAGAAATGCTCTAATAGTTGTATGAATGTTATCTTTCGTCAAATGTGCCAAAGCGATTAAGAAACCGGTTAATACTGAACTGCTTATTCTATTGTCTTTGCTGCCCTCTAGTGGTAAAACAGTTCTTGTCTATTGAATGAATCCAAAGCATCCTGTTCCCTGAAAACTGTCACGCAGTTTCCTAAAAACCTTTTTATAGTTGTGCTTTACCTCTATTGGATGATTTTCTGTCCGTGACCTTGTAGTAATAATCATAGCCTGGTTTGGAAGGCGGCCTGCTCTAGTGGATGGACAGACGATGGCTGGACTGAGAATCTTTTCTCTTTTGGTCCTCTCCCCGTCATTCAGGAATCCCTGCAGAACCGCCACCGTTTGCTGTGTAGACAGAGGGACGACGCCAAGGGCCTGAGAGAGAACCTGGAGAGAAGGCAGGGCGTGGTGGCTGCCATTTTGGCCAAATACCTGAGTGGCCAGCAGCAGGAGGAGTACAAGCAGATGGTGCAGACCAAGGCCTCACTGCTCATCCAGCAGAAGGACCTGGACGAGAGGCAGCGTCTCAGGGAGGAGCAGCTGCAGGCTTTGCTGGGCAGCCTGCCCCCGTAGCCGCGCGATGGCGCCCCCCAGCGTGGCTGCCAGTCAGGCCTGCTCTCTCCCGCTTCCTTCGGTAACCTGTGAAACTCGCGTTGGTTGTATCTTCCGGTCTTTTGCTTTTGGGATCTGCTTGATTTCCTGCGATTCCCTTTGCGAGGGATCTTGTGTAAAATACAGCATCTTCTGCAGACTCACTTCTCATGCCTCAACCCAGGGATGCTGGTAGAATAGTATTTAGCCAGAAATATTTCTATAGCTTATTTTTTTTACTACAGACTTCTGGGTCCAAAACCTCAGAGACAGAAATGCTGCTGTCCTGCTGTCCAGTAGAAGGCAGCTGTTCTTTGGATACCATCACTCTCATTCCTGTGGAACCTTTAGTGGATGATCTGAGTAATAATGTCAGTCCTGCTTCTTCATTTATGAGAGAAGATCATGACAGCGTGAGGCCTTTTTGAAAGGCTGATCCACAAGGTAGAGCATTTTTGACCACATTCACCCACATTTTCTTTGTACTGCCCTGCAGTGGCATGTTCAGAGATTTTCATCACGATGCAAGTCTGATGTTTTTACGACCGATAACTATTTATTAACTATTTGTTGCTGCTATTTTAATTAATGCTACCCGAAGGTAACAGGTAAAGCTACCAGAACCTGGATCTTTTGGTTCCTTTCCATCCATGGTTATATTTACCGAAGAGTAAAATGAAAAAAGAGAAAAAACAGTGACCTTAAAACTGACACAAAACTAAGATAAAAACATAAACCATTTTCTAAAATACAGTACAATGAGCCCCAAAACTAGTATTTTTAGTATATAGTACCTATGCTTCTGAATTGTATTTATTTTGTACATGTTAATGGCATAATAATTCCTCAAATTATATGTAATTATATGTGATTGTATGTGAAAAAGTGTGGGAATGATTATGCATTGTGTGAAACCAACCAATGCAAACACCTTTTATCTTTAGATGGCATGACCTTAGGTCACTCTAACTCATGTGCATTTCTACTCCGTATAGCTACTCTCTTACTCACATGCATTTCTACTCCGTATAGCTACTCTCTTACTCACATGCATTTCTACTCCGTATAGCTACTCTCTTACTCACATGCATTTCTACTCAGTATGGCTACTTTATTACTCAAATACACTTCTACTCAGTATAGCTACTCTATTACTCACATGCATTTCTACTCAGTATAGCTACTTTCTTACTCACATGTATTTCTACTCAGTATAGCTACTCTATTACTCAAATGCACTTCTACTCAGTATAGCTACAGTACTCTATTACTCACATGCATTTCTACTCAGTATAGCCACACTCTTATGCACATGCATTTCTACTCAGTATAGCTACTCTCTTACTCACATGCATTTCTACTCAGTATAGCCACACTCTTATGCACATGCATTTCTACTCAGTATAGCTACTCTCTTACTCACATCCATTTGTACTGGGTATAGCTACTGTCTTGTATAGAATGCAGTATAACATTTTTGTTCCATGCATTCCTGAACCTCTCGTTACCTTCTCTTTTAAGCATGTTGTTGTTAATTACACGAGGACCCTGGCTTGCAGTGACATTACAGACATGCACCAACCTGACATTGTAATCGATGTGTCTTCACCCTGCAGCTCTGAAATCCTGCTGTTAAACATCTGCTATAAAATATTCTCCTTGCAGTTATTTTGTTCACCGCACCAAAAGCCGAGAGCACTCATGCTCGTCGTGGGTGAATAAACCATTTTCCCCTTGATTCTTCTGTGGCTGTGTACTTCCCAGGTTGTCCCCTAAGTGAGACATGCATGTTTAGTTTTATGACAGATTTCTGAGTGTGTTTTGGGGGGGAAATAACCGTATATAACAGCTATAGGACCACAGCTTCCTATGACACACACACACAGATGGATAGGTTCCTTTAATTGTCATTGTAAAAATATACAACAAAATTCCACTGCACCTACAAAAAAAATGTCTCCCATCTTAAAATAAAGGATAAATTAAGTAAAAGAGAAAATTTAATGAAAAAAAACACAGTAATTTCCAACCAAATGTGTAAACATAAATAATTTACATGCACTGCAATCTTCCTGTTTGCTTTGAAGCTGAACAGTTTCCTCTGCACAACCACTGGCTGCATTTTGATAGGACCAGCTGTCCCGTCCCACCCAGGCTGCCGGGGAGTCCTTGCATGTTATGTGTGGTATTTCCTGGTAAGGCCTCGTACCGCTGGGTGTGCCTCATCAGACCAGACACAAACACGCATGCATTGGTGTGACAGCTTCAGTTATGAAACCTAGGCTGGTTTCACATGATCGTTGACGTCATAAACTCCAAAGGCTGCTGAAGACTCAGCCCCATCCCCCCCCGGCCCCAGATTCTGACTCACAGAGACCATCTGTCTGATGGAACAAGCCCCAACACGCTCCCAGGTGGAGGTGCTTGTGTGTCACTAGAGGGTGGGATTGTGTTCAGAACCTGCTCTTGCCGAATAGCAGCTATGCAGGATGAGCCTTTGGTCTGACACAAACAGACCAGATGGCGCGTGTGCAGGATGCCCCGCTGGTGGGGATCATGCTCATGGTAAGTGTTAGGCAGCGGCTAAGATGGTGCTGGTTTTTCTCCAGTCCTCACCTGTAATCACAGCACCCGCATCCTGGGAACATGTAAAGGAATGTGGTCGTATCTGCTTGGCAAATACGTGGCCTTCCCCTATATCAACATATGGCAGGGGGGGGGGGGATAAAATACAATGAAGGATTCATCCACTGCACAGCTCACTCCACCCACCCCAAGAAATACACATTCAACAAGGAGGCTTGGCTGAACAAGTGTGGGCACTGCATTTCGGTGGGGTGGGGGGGGGGGCACTCAACCACAGAGGAGGGGCAGAAGATTATGTGTGCTCCGTGTTACATGCCGAGCTCAGCAGTGAGAACAGCCTGAAAGGGAACACAGGGGCCCTGGGTGAAATGTCAGGGAGGGGGATGTCTGTCCTTAGTTACAGTGTACAGAATGTCACATCAAACACAAACCTCGGTTTCTGCAAAGGAGTTCGATTTGGTATAAACCAGCGGGGGCATACCTAGGGGCTTGGGGCCCCTGACTAAATGTCACCATGGGCCCCTGCCAGATTTTACATATAATTTTACATATTCAGGGGCCCTGGGCAAATGCTGGGCCCCCTAAATCTGCCAGGGCATCCATGCCCCTCTGATGCCCCAGCAAACCAGGAAGAAAATGCAAATTTTGTAAAAACATCTTTAAATTCAGCCGGTCTCATTATTATGTATTATATTATATATTTACAGTAAAAGACTTTTCATAAATATCAAAGATATCACAACACAAGGACAGGATGCTGGAACTCGCCAGCTATAAAAATGTAGGAAATTTAGGCTTTAATAACATTTTATAAATGTAGCTACTATGACCTCAGTATTAAAAAATCCAGTACAATCCAGACTTCAAGGCAGACGATAAAATAACTGTACAGCACAATTTCCCTCCTTAACTGTGGTTAAAATAATATCTCGTTAGAAAGCAGCAGAAAAGGAATCAGCTGGCGGCCTTTTGCGTTTTCAGTGGAACATGTCGGAGGAGGGTCTCTGCCTGGCTCCGTTCTCCTCCTCTGCTACTCCGCTCATGGCGTAGAAACTCGGGCGAGTCTTGTACTTTTTCTTATGTGCCACGTGAGGCTGGAAAATGCGACTCAGCGTGTTAAAGCCCTTCTGATGATCTGGAAAGGCATAGTTGTCCAGCTTTTCGTGAGAGACCTCTTTGGAGAGCACCTGCGGTGCCCCGAGCAGCGCCCTCAGCTCAGACGGCGCCCCCTGGGGCAGGTGGTGATAAGGCTTCTTGCCGCTGTTGTCCCTGAGGTGCACGTTGGCGCCAAATTCCTGCACCAGCATGGCCATGGTGGCCCTACGGTCGTGGATGGCCGCCACGTGCAGGGGAGTGTACCCGCCGTGCGTCTTTGCGTTGACGTCGACCTCCATGCCGCCCCGCTTGGCTATCTCAATGATCTTGGACAGCATCTCATGATTGTCGCTCTTGGCGGCCCAGTGCAGGGCTGTGAGGCCGGATATGAAGTCTCTCTTTCTGGCCAGATGTGTATCCTGCAGGAGGAGCCCGTGGACGTGACTCCAGTGCCCTGCGGCACACCTCACCATCCACTCGTGCTCCGCAGCTTCCAGGGGGATGCTCTCTGGGAAGTGGACCTCATCACCCGGTTTCGGGCTCTTGCAGGTTCTCCTGACCTGCGGTGACCCAGGTAGACTTCCACCCCCCTGCTGTCTCCTTTTGAATCTGGGCGATCTCTCCATGGAAAGTTCCGGGACACTTGTCGCCGAGTTACTTTTCGCTGCATCCGAATCGACTGATTCTACTTTAATATCAGGAGGGGGCATGCGAAGGGGTAATGCACAGGGTTTGGGGCCCGGTTTCTGTGCTTCAGTCCAAGGTGTCGTGGCGCTTGGTCCATCCACCTTGACACGTAGTTCAGCACTCAGTGTGTCTGTCTGGGGCTTCACGTCTACCACAGTGTAAGCAGATCCAGTCTTTCTGGTTCTAACTTCACCTAGAAGATTGTGATCTTCCACTTTCGGGGATTCATCATGTTTCTGTGACCTCACCACAGGTAAACCTGACTTGCTTGCATAGGTAACCTCCCCTGTTCTGCGTGTTTGCGGAGGATCTACGAGCCGCGGGGTGGAGGTATAGCTAACATTCATGAGGTTCTCATTCCTGCCACTCGGAAGGGTTAGCGTGTTGTGCTCAAGTTGTGAATGTAATATCTTACCGTCTTTCCGATCATGACCTCTGTGTTCCACCTCAGAGCCAGCTGAGCGAACACCGGTTTGCTTTTCAAACGTATCTCCCACATCAGGCCGCTGCGTCGTTACTGCCAGTTTTCCGCCAGAAAAGTTCTTTTTCTTAAGTACGACATATTTCACATCATCAATTTCCCTTACAACAGCGACGGTGTTGACGTATTTCTTGAAAAGCTCCCGGTTCCGTTTCTTCTCCTCGGGATCGCTGCAGTTCAGCAGGTCTTTAAATGTTATTAGTAACTCGGAGTTCTTCACGTTTCCGCCCCGCTCCAACAAGAAATTGGTAATAACGTCTTGAGTCAAGGCCATCTTTTTGAGACCTCCGCGAAGAAATCTTAACGATCAGGTAGTTGAAAGCTTCCCCATGAAGCGCTAACGTACTTTACGGTCCCCGGCGCTCCGTCCTCCCGGTACCTGCCGCTTCTGCGCGGAGGTTTCGCCTGGCAGCGCCTATAATAACTTCTGCGCATGGAAGCGTGGGGAGGGAGGCGCCCTTCGCTGGCAGGTTAGAAGCCGCGGCGAGGTTCGGGTTTCTGATCGGCAACCTCCCGAGGCGGTGATATGTCACGTCATTGTTTTTATTAGAAATGGGAGTACACATGCAATAAAACAAGACCGGATGTTCAGTGTAGATTACTACTCTATGCATGTCAATACATTATAATTGTATATATTTAGACAAATATATACTAATTGATTACTATAGTGACTTTCAAGCAATTGCAAGTATTTAAATTGGCATAACAACAACAACAATAACAATAATAATAATAAAATTATTTGTGGAAATTGTGATGACAACATAACCTTAATTGTAGAAGTATATTATTATATATTATGTCCGTTGTATGATTTTGCGAGTTTACGTTTCGGAATCTGAAATGTCAACATTTCATAAACAGACGTACATGCAAATTGGGAGATGACCCAACACCGCACTTTATAACAAGAAAATCCATAAACTTAAAACATGCATTTGACCGAACACTTATCAGAGGCACGTGTAATTTGTTATATCCACAGTGGAAAATGGCTATTGATTTACTGCATTACCTCTACCCGTAACATCATTTAAGTGCATTCTCACCGCAGGAATATCCCTGGTACCTTAAGTTGATTGTCAGGTATCTCCGTGGCCCGCACGCGGCTCCTGGCGGCTCGCGGGATGGAATTCCAGAGCCAAGTGGGAGTTTCCAGGAAGGAGCCATATTGGATGCGCTGAGCATTTCCAGGCGTTATCCCGACGAAGACAGCCGCTTCTTCGCCCCGTAAAATCTTTGGACAATGGCTGCCACGGATGTAGACATATTTCCCGTAAGTGTACAATATTTTCGTATTCTCGGTGAGAAATAGCGAGGAAGATTATGCTGGTCCAGCAGAGTACGTGCTGAGAATTTCTTATCTCTGTATACGGATCCTGTAGTTGGACAGTGGGCAGAGATCTGATTGTGATTTGCTTCCCAGTTTCAGTTTACTCACTTGTATGAGCGGTTCTGTCATTTGACTGGGCTCACATTATACAATTTATTTTCATTTTTATGCATGTGTGAAGGATTCCTGCTTGAGAAAACGTGCCATATTCTGTATGCTGAACTGCGTTCATGTTAGTACGCTTCTGGTTTTCTGTCAGCCATTCATGGGGATAATCATGCGTTTCTGCAAGGCATTAAAAGAAAAAGTTTCACCAAAAACGAATGATGCTTCCCAGTCATAGATAACTTGCGTGCGTATCTAATGCATCAGCTGTAAATGTAAAAAACGTAGATTTTCTTGAGCTCCTCTGCATCCGACTAATAATATGAGATTGTCATCAGTGGCGAGCGAAACGACATTCGGAAGATCCGCATGAACCTGCCTGATGTTTCAGGGATATATCGTCCCTAAAGTTGTGTAATACTGGTGTAGACGACGTGCGAAAAAATAGTTTGTCTTAGGAACTGCTGTAACCTTTCGAACCCCACAACAGCTATTTAAAAAAAACAGAACTGAAATCTAACCTGTAAAGTACAGGCAGACAGGGGCGCAGGTCCGGGGGGGAGGGGGGCTTGTTTACCCCCCCGATATTTAATTTAGCTTTATTCGCCCTACCATAATAAACAGACCTTCGCATGTAAATTATTACATCGTGCCCCCCCACCACCAAACTCTCCTGCGCCCCTGCAGTTAGGTATTCAAAGCACGCGCTTAAACCCTTCTTCGCCCTGATCTAGTGCCTGCATCTGCAGCATTTCCTACACAGGTACCTTGCAAAATCGCTGCTTCCTCTGCGTGTCTCTGTTTCAGAAGAGATATGTGACAGAAAAGGTTTCTCCGCGCGTTTTCCCGGCGCCGTAACTTCAGCGGCTCCAGCTCGGCTCCTTTTATAATAGTAACACTGCTGTCTTTTGTGGATTTTATCTTGAGTAAAGACACAAAAACAGCCATGGGTTTCGCTAAAGAAGCCGCACCATGTGGCCTCAGCATTTTTGTTAGCCGGCCTACAGTGTAAATTGATGGCTGTTGACTGCCCTAACTGTTGTTTTTGAGGTTATGGAAGCCGTGTAACCCCATGGAAAAACAGCTAAGAAAGCCGCCATTGTGTTTTGTGGCACTGACGACCGTTATTGTAGTCAGGCCGAGTGATTTAACATAATGTGTCACCATTGGCTAAGTGGGAAAAAACGAGAAACTTTGGGATTAAAAACCTGAATGGCATGTAGCAGCGATGTGCAGAATGCTGTCCGACCTGAAAAGGGCGAGTATATGGCATAGAGGAAGCAGCAATACCGTGAAATGGAAACATCATTAACATAGTTTTGTCACTGTCACATAGAGTAGGGGATCCCAATGTTTTGATGTTCACGGACCGGTTTACGTCACACAAAAATGTCACGGGCCAGTAAAACGGCTGGGGGCCAGACCGGTGGATCAGTTGGCAATTTCATAAGTTAAATTGTTTCAGTGGTATTTATCATCTTTTGTTGTCATTAATTTGGTGTAAAAAATCATTTGGAAACCTTATGACATGTGAGGATGGTAAATCGTTTGATCTCCATTGCCTGCACTTCCTTTGTACTAGCAGAGATTCAAGGGAAGCTTTTCAGGCTGCAGATGAAGTAGACAAGCCCTGGGTTTGTGCTGGTCACAAGCTGTCGCCGCATGTCACAGCCTTGCGAAATCTGGCCCATCTGCAGCCACTCGCTGGCATCCAGCAACAAGAGGCGCCGTATGTGTCCACCAGGGCTCTAATGAACGTTGTCAGTGCCTCGACAGGAAGTGGCGCGGTCGGGCCCAACACAGCACGCTCCTGTTTTTTAGCCACCGCTAACAGAGCGAAGACAGCCTGCCTCAGTTTATCATGATCAGGTGTAAAAGTCAGTGATCTATAAGCTGAAGATTCCTGTTATTAGGACTGACAAGATCTGAGGGAAATTGATCACTCGAGTGTCTGTGGGACCAAAATCATCCTTAAAATGCGTATTTTGTAAAAATAATAAAAACAATGACATAAGGTATTTTGTAGCGCATTTATCTGAGGTGTAGTTCCGGAATGATTCCAGTTTCGTTTACGCAGATGGCCGTCTGATTCAGTAAGCTAAGCTTTGCACTGGAGCCGAATCCTACTGCAACATTTCATACATTTTTATTACAATCACCTGCCATGGCAGCTGTTTTTCTTTATCTGAAAATGAATGTCATTTAAAATGCTGCATTAATGTAGATCCTCTGTACCTTCTGTATAGTCTTTCACAGAGTGAGGACCATTAAACTATCCTCCGCTGCTAAAGCCCATCTTGATAGTCATGTTAAGAAGTTTGTACTGTTCATGGCTACAAAGACCGTCAGAGTGCATCAGGCAGCTAGGGGCTGCATTGACATTGACGTTCTTTGGGACATTTGGGTGTTGACAGTGGCTTCTTTGAACGTCCTAGATTGAAGAAAAGCGAACCCTTGACTTGGGGGGGCGCGTTGGCTTTGACAGTCTTCCTGACCAGTTGGTTAGTAAATCGGTAACACAAGGATTCTGCTTCAACATCCTCTGTGTTGGTAAGCAAATCTCGCCTTGTCCACCCTGCCCACCCTGTCCACCCTGTCCACCCTGTCCATCCTGTCCACCCTGCCCATCCTGTCCACCCTGTCCATCCTGCCCATCCTGCCCACCCTGTCCACCCTGCCCACCCTGTCCACCCTGTCCACCCTGTCCACCCTGC